CTGTTTGATACAAAATGGCTGAACTTCATCTTCAGAAGACTAAACCCGACATCTAAACATGCCAATATAAACATCAAAACAAAATATATTCTAACCAACCACGGGAAACAGTCTGGTATCAGGAAAGCAACAAGGATTACACACATTATTTTATAAACCAGCACACAAAGGTTTAAAACAGTTCTGAAAATGAAGTTAGCTGTCTTGAGTCAAGGGAATAAAAAAAAAGTCAGTATTGACCATTTACAATCTCTGACCTTTGTGGAGACGGTAAGAATCTGTTGTAGTGCAGCTACATACAGTACAATTCAGGCAATTTTGTTTTTTCACTTGGGTTCAGATTGCAAATTCATTGCTGTGAGAAAAGGACGGAGGCAAATTTTAGCAGCAACCTCCACCTGACTGCTTGACCGGAGTGCTCTGAATTTTAACATTGGACTTCTCTGCACCACCAGCTGTTGCTCCAGGACCCATTCGTTTTTTAATCTCAGCTGCCATCGTCATGAAAGACTGTTCTACATTTGTTGCGTTCTTAGCACTGGTTTCCAAAAATGGAATTCCAAGGGAATCAGCAAATTCCTAAGAAAATAAGACACAATTAACACGGAAAAATCTTTTTCACTTAGTTCATTTCTACCATCTATAATGGAGAGTGAGGAAGAACTAAGTTCACTGAATCCAAACAGACATCACACTAATTGTCACTGCCACAGTATTCTATTGCACGTATTTTTAAAAGTTAAGGTGCTTATAGCCATAGTGTGACTCCATACCCATACAGAATTCAAATTCAACACCTGCAAATTCAGTTTGAAAATCAAACTTTAAGCATACCTTTGCTGTTGTGTAATCTACTACTTTCTTTGTGGTCAGATCACATTTGTTCCCTACCAACAATTTGTTGACGTTCTCACTGGCATAACGATCTATTTCCTGCAGCCACTGTTTAACATTATTGAAGGACTCCTAAAAAGACAGACATTTGAAAGTATGATAATATAGTACTGTAATAAACAAGCATTCTTCCCGACCTAACAGACAAATAACAAAGCTAGTGAGAGCCGGGCCTTGTGGCTCAAGCCTATAATCACAGCACCGAGCCGAGGTGAGAGGATTGCTTGAGCCCATGGGTTCGAGACCAGCCTGGACAACTTAGTGAGACCTCATCTCTACAATAAATCAAAATAAATTAGCTGGGGACAGTGGTGCGTGCCTGTAGTTCCAGCTACCTGGAAGGCCGAGATGGAAGGATCTCCTGAGCCCAGCAGGTCGAGGCTGCAGTGACTGTGAGCATACCACTGCACTCCAGCCTGGGAGACAGGGTGAGACTCCTACTCAAAAAAAATAGATTTTTGTCTATGACTCAAAGATGTAACTTTCAAATAAATAAATAATAAAAATATTTCATGGTAATATAACTAGAGATTTCTTATTGTGTTTTTTCTTTAGTCAGGTCTCACTCCCAGGATAAAGTACAGTGGCATGATTATGGCTCACAGCAGCAGCCTCGACCTACTGGGTTCAGGTGATCCATCTCAGCATCCTGAGTAACTGGGATTACAGGTGTGTGCCACCGTACCCGGCTAAATTTTTTATTTTCTGTAGAGATGAGGTCTTACTATGTTGCCCAGACTGGTCTCAAACAAGAATTTTTTTTTTAATTAGCATCATCTGGTTAATATGATCCATCCAGTGCGTCTAATGGCACCGAATCTAGATATGTTATGTACGTCATCTCTGCTCATACTTAACATTTACTACAAGAAAAATATCCTGAAATCTGCTGGCCTTCGGGCCGCATTCTTCATACTGTCCCACATTTTTCTCTACACCCCCCCACCCCGCCTTCTCTCAGCTATCTTCAGATTTTCATTCTCCCACTCAAGTCCTCCTAAAGCTCATCCTATTCAAATCCTTTATTTCTGAACCACAGCCTCCACAGGTAGAGACCCCTGATCCCACATTTGGCAATTCTGATGGACAAATTCCAATTACCAGGCAAATTGCAGTTAATACTTAACACCAAGAACACAGCATAAATGTAACAACTTGCGATTCCCTACAGACTGCTGCCTGTATGTTAGAATCTTGGCTGTATATACAAAATTAGTTAATAATAAGTACAACCAGAAACCCATGAAAGCAAATGTAATACTAATTACTAATTTTCTATTAACTAAAGGAAAATGAAACAAATGTCTTTTAAGTGATTCACACTCATATTTGGGAGTAGCCCAGTTTTCTGCCATAAAAAAAAATACTGATGGCCTATATGCAAAGTAAATGAATCTGACATTTATCAAACAGTAACTTCCTGCTTTGTCACTGTAAGAGAATCTCCTTTTGGAACTTACCTGATCTGTCACATCATACACAACTATGATGCCATGGGCTCCTCTGTAGTAACTGGAAGTGATTGTTCGAAATCTTTCTTGGCCAGCTGTGTCCCACTATTACAAAACAAGAAATCCAAACAATTTTGTTAAAATAGAGAAGAGGAAGGGGAAAAGTGCAGAAGGAGAGAAAACAGTTTTCATAGCTGTGGAAATTGTCAGGATTTGATATGAAAGCACTCTCACACTCATTTCACGTAAATGCCAAGTACTTGAGTGTCCAGAAGAGAGTCCCTTCAACTGAACTTGTGGTAATGACACCAACATTATAAACTCTTGGAGAGCAGGAACTATGTCATACTTTTCACCTACCCTACAGCCTTCAACACCATGGTAGGCATTCAGTATGAATCCATACAGGTTGACATGATTAAGAAAGCTACTGGCCTAAAGCCCTCTTCTACACAAAACTCCCATACATTAAAGCAAACTCACTTACTAGCACATTTTACAATCACAGAAAACACTGGAAGAACTGGATTCAGCCAACTACCAGATAAGATAGCACAGTAGCCAGGCATGGTGGCTCATACCTGTAATCCCAGCACTTTGAGCGGCTAAGGCGAGAGGATTGCCTAAACCAGGGGTTCAAGACCAGCCAGGGCAACCTTAACTTGGCAGACCTAGTCTTTACGATAAGACAAAAAATTAGCTGGGAATGGTGGCATGTGCCTGTGGTTCCAGCTACTTGGAAGGGTCACCAGAGTCCAGCAGGTCAAGGCTTGAGATAGCTGTGAGCATGCCACTGCACTCCAGCCTGGGCGACACAATGATACTCTGACTCAAAAAACAAAACAAAACAAAAACTGCTTCTGGACAATGGCTTCTTTAAAAAAAAATCTAAATAATTGGAAAATCTATATACTCCACTAAAAGATACTGGCAAAAGGCAACATCTTGATTAACAGTGATGGAAAAATAATGAAATGGTTACAATTACCAAAAAAAAGACTCAAGCCTAAGACAAGTGGAGATTAAGATGCAAGTCTTTGGGGAAAAGGGTATTGTAAAGTTGTGGGGTATAACTGACACTGAGCCTAAGGTTTTCAATGGCAAAGCATAACAAAAAAAAAAGTTCAGTAGCATTCAGTAAAATTGCTAACTTTTCCCGATGCAGCCAACATGGAGCTGGTAATTGCAGCCAGGCACAGTGGCTCACGCCTGTAATAACAGCACTCTGGGAGGCGGAGGTGAGAGGACTGTCTGAGCTCAGATTCGAGACCAGCCTAGACAAAATGGCGAGACCTTGTCTCTACAATAGAACAAAAAATTAGCTGGGTGTGGTGGCATACACCTGTAGTGCAAGCTACTTGGAAGGCTGAGGTGGAAGGATCACCTGGGCCCAGTATGTTGAGGCTGTGGTGGCTGTGAGCATGTCACTACACTCCAGCCTGGGTGACAGAGTGAGACGCCGACTTAAAAAAAAAACAAGTTGCAATTTTGGAAAATCTGAAGACAGAATGTATACTAAGGTATTAGGCATTAGTGTCAATTTTATTAGGTATGATAACAAAATAGTAATTGTAAAATAAAGATGCATACTGGGCCGGGTTCAGTGGCTCAGCCTGTAATCCCAGCGCTTTGGGAGGCCGAGGTAAGTGGACTGCCTGAGCCCACAGGTTCGAGACTCACCTGAGCAACTTGGCAAGACCTCATCTCTACAATAAATCAAAAATTAGCCAGGCGTGGTAGTGTGCGCCTGTAGTTCCAGCTACTTGGAAGGCTGAGGCGGAAGGATTGCCAGAGCCCAGCAGGTCGAGGCTGCGGTAGCTGGGAGCGGCCACTGCACTCTAGTCTGAGTGATAGAGTGAGACCCCCGACTCAAAAAAAAAAAAAGATGCATACTGAAACATGTTGGAGTAAGATATCATAAAGTCTGTAATTTACTTTAATACTCTCCACCCCTAGGAAAAAATAATAATGAAGCAAATAATATAAAATGCTTATAGTTGTTAATCTAAAAAACAAATGAAAATACAAATCACCGCAGGCTTCATTTCCTTTTTTGGCCAAACTACTAAGCCTAAGAGCTCAGAAGACTATTTAGATAGCAATCAACAAAGAGCCTCAAAAGTATTTCAGGATATCCTTGGTGAAGCATCAACTCTGGCGTCAAGCCAACCTGACTTCAAAACAACAAATCCAGATTCCTGGTTATTTAATGCTAGAGAGAGTCACCTAACAGTTTTTTCATCCATTAATCCTACATACTACCCATCTTATACAACTGCTAAAGGGACAAACTAATGTTTGTAAAATACCTACCACTGTACCTGACTATAGAAGCCACTCAATAAAATATTAGTTTCTGTCTCCCTGTTCACCAACCCCTTTCTCAAAGATAGCACAAGAAATGGAAAAATGTTTTTTGACTGTAAGTTAGGAAAGAATTATAGTTGAATAAAGTAATGGCATCCAAAAGGTAAAATTTCTTTTTCTTCTTTTTTTTGAGATAGGGTCTCGCTATGTTGCCCAGGCTGGTCCCGAAATCCTGGGCTCAAGCAATCCTCCTGACTCAGACACCCAAGTAACTAGGACTACAGGCACCACATGTTGCAGAAAGAGTAAAATTTCTAACGTTTCCTTGTCACTGAAAACTTTCCTCACTCTACATCCTAACAGCACTCTCCTTGAAATCACATCACGCTTTGCATATAGTTCTCATTACCCCTCGATCACAGGATAACTGATCTGTCCACATTCTTCTCTCCCACTGAAAAGAGACTGACTACTAACAGGCTGTTTTATTCCTCTCTGTAACCTCCAAGTGCCTGGTGTAACGAAGGCACTTCTATTACGCCTGATGAATGACAAGTCACAGACAGGTCTTCCATGGCATGCGACTGGGCTCCATACCTGCCCTACCCTGATGAATGTTCTGTAATCCAACAAACTTTGATAAAGACCCAGATGTCAACTTGAAAGCTGCAAAGAAAAAATTAAAATATAAGTCAGCCGGGCTCGGTGGCTCGGCCTGTCATCCCGCGCCTTTGGGAGGCTGAGGTGAGTGGATTGCCTGAGCCCGTGGGTTCGAGACCCGCCTGGGCAGCGAGACCTCATCTCTACAATAAATCAAAAAATTAGCCGGGCATGGTAGCGCGCGCCTGTAATTCCGGCTACTCGGAAGGCTGAGGCGGAAGGATCGCCGGAGCCCAGCAGGCGAGGCTGCGGTGGCCGGGAACGGCCACTGCACTCCAGTCTGGGCAACCGAGTGAGACTCCAACTCAAAAAAAAAAAAAAGTCAACAGATCAAGATTCTGAAAGACCTAGAAAACTTGGAAGGATAACTGAAGCCAAGCAAGAGGAAATGTAATAGTATTAAAAATAAAATCAGTCACTCACTGATTCAGGCTCACGCCTGTAATCTCAACACTTGGAGGACTGAGGTGAGAGGACTGCCTGAGCCCAGGGGTTGGAGACCAGCATTGGGCATGATGGCGAGACCTTGTCCCTACAATAAATAAAAAAATTAGCTGAGCGTGGTGGCATGTGCCTGTAGTTCCAGCTACTTGGAAGGCTGAGATGGAAGGATCACCTGAGCCCAGCAGATCGAGGCTGCAGTGGCCATGAGTATGCCACTGCACTCCAGTCTGGGCAGCAGAGTGAGACTATAACTCAAAAAAAAAAAAAAAAAAAAGAAAAATCATGTTTAGATTTTTTAAATATCAGTCACAGAAGACCCTTTTTTAAAAATTAAAAACAGGCCGGGAGCAGTGGTTCATGTCTATAATCCCAGCACTCTGGGAGGCCAAGGTGAGAGGACTGCCTGAACCCATGGGTTCGAGACCAACCTGGGCAACTTGGTTAGACCTCATCTCTACAATAAATAAAAAAATTAGCCGGGCATGATAGCGTGCGCCTGTAATTCTGGCTACTCGGAAGGCTGAGGCGGAAGGATCGCCGGAGCCCAGCAGGTCGAGGCTGCGGTGGCTGGGAGCGGCCGCTGCACTCCAGTCTGGGCGACAGAGTGAGACTCCAACTCAAAAAACAAACAAACAAAAAAAAAACACTTCATGTTCTCACTTATAAGTAAGTGGCAGCTAAACTAAGGATCGCAAAGCCATAGAAAATGGTACAGTGGACACTGGAGACTCAGAAGAGAGAGGGATGGAAAGGGTTGGGGGAACAAAAAAATCACCTGTTGGGTACAAAATGCACAGGGGGCAGTGGTGGGTACATTTAAAGTCCAGACTTTTTTGCCACTATACAATGCAACCATGTAACTAAACTATTTGTACCGACTAAAACTACTGAAATAAAATAAATATACATATATTTATTTTTTTGAGTCGAAGTCTCACTCTGTCACCCAGGCTGGAGTGCAGTGGCATGCGCACAACCACCACAGCCTCGACCTGCTAGGCTCAGGTGATCCCTCTGTCTCAGCCTTCCAAACAGCTAGAACCACAGGCGTGCGCCACCATGCCCAGCTAAGTTTTTGATTTATTGTAGACGAGGTCTCGCCATGTTGCTCAGGCTGGTCTGAAACCTCTGAACCCTGGCAATCTTCTCCTCTCATCCTCCCAAAGTGCTAGGATTGCAGGCGTGAGTCACCATGCCCAGCAAAAAATACATTTTTTTAATTAAAAAATAGTTTCTAACATAGTTAAAATCTTCTCATCATGATCTTAGATTTGTATCTCCTTCATTCTTTCAGTGTTTTGATTTACATATTTGTACTATAAGGCACATACAAATTCAAGATTTTTTTCCCTCGATTATTACGTAGCATCCCCTTGATTCTTGCTTACATCCTACTTTGTCTAGCTGGGTGCAGTGGCTCATGCCTGTAATCCCAGCACTTTTGGAGGCCTAGGCAACAGAATCGCTTGAGCCCAGGAGTTCAAGACCAGCTTAGGCAACATAGCGAGACCGCGTCTCGACCAAAAATCAAAGTATCAGTTGGACATGGTGGCACACGCCTGTAGTCCCAACTACTTGGGAGGCTGTGGGCAGGAGGATCGCCTGAGCCCAGAAGGTTGAAGCCGCAGTGACCTGTGATTGTGTTACTGCCCTCCAGCCTGGGTGAAAGAGACCCTATCTCAAAAAAAACAAGGCTGGGCTCGGTGGCTCAGCCTGTAATCCTGTGCTTTGGGAGGCCGAGGTGAATGAATTGCCTGAGCCCACGGGTTCGAGACCCGCCTGGGCAACTTGGCGAGACCTCATCTCTACAATAAAAAAATCAAAAAATTAGCCAGGCGTGGTAGCGCACGCCTGTAGTTCCAGCTACTTGGAAGGCTGAGCAGAATGATCGCCAGAGCCCAGCAGGTAGAGGCTGCGGAGGCTGGGAGCATGCCACTGCACTCCAGTCTGGGCGACGGAATGAGACTTCAACTCCAAATAAATAAATAAATAAATAAATAAATAAAAACAAAAATTATACTTCGTCTGATACCATTAACTGCTAACTGGCTTTTGAGTATTTCCTCTATTTCTATATTTGCTTTATATTTCTCTTTCCAAACTCTTTCCCCTATCCTTCCCCTCACCTTTTCAAATTCATGTGGTTTTGTTTTAGGTAATTTTCCTAATGGCAGGTTGGAATTCAGTGGTTTTCACCTGGGTTGCATATCAAAAACGATCTGTGAAGCTTGTAAAAAAAAAATCCATTTCCTTTCCTCCCTACTCTCTGCCAGTTCCCAAAGAGGCATAATAAATTAGAATTACTTGAGTCCTGAGCATGAGTATTTTTTAACATTGTAGTTAAAACAACAAAACAAGCAAATCAAAAACCTCAAGACCCAAACTACTAAATAATATGGCTATTGAGACAGCAAATACAAACTCAGGCTTTTTCTTTATATCCCTGATCGACAATGAGAAAGGGGCATGAGCCCCTGAAGTTCAAGAGGGAAAATTAAAATAAGAAATTCATTCAGAGTTCAAATCAAGAGAGCATTTACCTCATGTGTTATATATCACATGTGATTTTAAGAATCACATGTTAATAAAGGGCACTTATAAAATGCAAGGGTAACCCCAATTGCTTTATAGAAAGGAATGGTAAGACTCCAGAGGTAGAAGGTTGTGATTAAATCAATCTGAAGGGCAGCCTGCCAACAGAAGAGGAATTAATCTTTTTCAGGCAGCTCCAAAAGGCAGAGGAATAACAGTGAAAGGAAACAGGCTTCAGTGCATTATAAAGAATTAACAACTAGAGGTTATTTATAAATGCAACTAGCTGCTTTGGAAAATGACAAGCCTCCCAAATATGTTTTTAAAAAAAAGCTATCAGATATGGAAAGGAAATTCATATTAACGACGAAAAGCAGGCCAAGTACAATGGCTTATTGACGGTAATCCCAGCACTTTGGGAAGCCAAGGCAGGAGAATCACTTGAGGTCAAGAGTTTGACACCAGCCTGGACAAAACAGCAAGACCCGTTCTCTACAAAAAACTTGTATAAAACATAAAAAAGATGTAAGTTAGATCAAGAGTGACCTATAAGATCCCTTACAGCCACAGAAAAGTAACAAAAATATGAATGTTTCACAAATACACACCCATATCTTAGGAAAACCACGGTCACACACAACATAATCAGTACTTATACCAGTAGTCCCTATCCTTTTTGGCACAAGGACCAGTTTCACGAAAGACAATTTTTCCACAGATGGTGGGCAAGGGGAATCATCAGGCATTAGACTCTCAAAGGAGTGTGCAACCTAGATCCCTCACATGCACAGTTCACAATAGGGTTTGTGCTCCTATGAGAATGTAATGCCACTGCTTATCTGAAAGAAGATGGAGCTCCACTGGTCTATTATTCACCTGCTGCTGTGCGGCCCAGTTCTTAACAGGCCTGGGCGCTGGGAACCCTGTTAATATTACAGGTTTGGGTGGAACTTCATGTACTCTTTATGGTGCCAAATTAAAAGTTGGCACTATACATATAATGGAAAAAATATAGAAGGTAATTTGTTCACTGATGTAAAGTGTCTCAAGCTATTTCTGATAACTGTATCCTTACAAGCCCTAACTTGATATATCAAGCGTGTTTATTGTATCAAAATCCACATCCTCCTATCTTTTGTCATGTACCTTATTTTCCTCCTCATAAATGTCAGAACCAGAAGAATAAGTCTTCTGACTCCAAACCCAGCACTCCTTCCAGTTCAATGTGTCATCACTTTCATGAAAAGAACAATCTCTGGTTTCCTATGGGACCTCACAGGCTACTCTAAAATACGGAAAGATTTTTAAAATAAGACCACAGATGTGCCCACACCAACAGGACTCAGACCCATACTGAAGATATACAACTGAACCATTACAATTGCCTATATTTAACTGGGGGCTGGGGGTGTAAAGCTGGATAAAGGGGTTAGGATGGCACAGGGACACAAAATATTGATGCCAGAGAGCTATGGATCACTTGGTTCTATCAGTAACTGTAAACAAGTCATCCACTTTTTGAGCAATAAAATTAACATGTTAGAAAAACCAGTCAGGTGTGGTGGCTCAAGCCTGTAATCCCAGTACTTTGGGAGGTGGAGGTGAGAGCATTGCCTGAACTCAGGGGTTTGAGACCAACCTGACCAACATGGCGAGACCTCATCTCTACAATAAATCAAAAAATTAGCCAGGCATGGATGGCACATGCCTGTGGTTTCAGCTACTTGGAAAGCTGAGGTGGATGCATCACCTGAGCCCAGTAAGTCAAGGCTGCAGTGGCCATGAGTGTGCCACTACACTCCAGTCTGGGCAACACAGTGAGACTCTGACTTAAAAAAAAAAAGAAAAGCTAAGATCGTTTCCAACAAAATTCTATGTTTCTACAGAATTGATACATACTATCTAATAAAAAAACACTAAATAAATATTTCTCTTCAATTAAGCCATATATAAAGAACCTCTCCTGGGTTTCTTTTGATGTTCCACATCACTTGGCACAGTAAAAGACATATAAAAACAGTTAATAACATTTTCACTGTACAAAAAGAAAACTTGAACTCAGACTGCCACTGATAAAAGGACACCAGGACCAAGTCTGACTTAAGACATACATTTCTGTGTTTTATTAACAGAAAATTTAATGAGGAAAATCTTCTTTTTCTTTTTTGAGTTGGAGTCTCACTCTGTAACCCAGACTGGAGTGCAGTGGCCACTCCCGGCCCCCACAGCCTCGATCTGCTGGGCTCCAGCGATCCTTCCGCCTCAGCCTTCCAAGTAACTGGAACTACAGGCGTGTGCTACCATACCCGGCTGATTTTTGATTTATTGTAGAGATGAGGTCTCGCCAAGTTGCCCAGGCGGGTCTCGAACCTGCGGGCTCAGGCAATCCACTCACCTTGGCCTCCCAAAGTGCTGGGATTATAGGGTGAGCCACCAAGCCCGGCAAGGAAAATCTTAATATTTTAAAATCTAAGTAATTCTTAGTGTACCACTCTATCACAGATACATGATTCTTAAGACACTTCATACTCAGTTATTAGTATATTGCATATGTAAAATAATTATACATTCCAAATTTACCAAAATAATTTTTTAAAAAACTTCTAGCCAAAAATCACTTACTATTTGAAGCTTGATTGTTTTCCCGTCTAACTCTATAGTTCTTATTTTGAAATCCACGCCAATTGTACTGATGTAGCTTTCTGTATATGTATCATCCTAAAGGGCGAAAAAAGTTAATGTTTAAAATTATTGTTCAAAAGCATAAATTTAAAAATGTTTACTTTTATTTACAAAGTTTATAAAGCATAACATACTGACAAACATTCACTACATCCTGCTTCAGTATTCACTTCATATTCTGATTACAAAGCACTATTTAACAGTTAATTTCTTCTTTCCTGAAGATCTTTTCAATAACAATTCTTATTTTTTCAAGACATTCCTTGGCAAATTCTTTACATACATCATACAGAAAAATGTTTTGGCTGGGCTTGGTGGATCAGTTTGTAATTCCAGCACTTTGGGAAGCCGAGGTGAGTAGATTGCCTGAACCCGCTGGTTTGAGACCAGCCCGGGGAACTTGGCGAGACCTCGACTCTACAACAAATTAAAAAATTAGCTGGGTGTGGTAGTGCACGCTTGTAGTTCCGGCTACTTGGAAGGCTGAGGTGGAAGGATCACTGGAGCCCAGCGAGTTAACTCTGGGGTGGCTGTGAACATGCTACTGCACTCCAGCCTGGGCAACAAAGTGAGACTCCAACTCAAAAAAAAGAAAAATGTTTTATATGTTCAATGATTATGAATGATTCCTCTAATCACTAATTAGCAAAATTCCTGCTCTCTTCCCACTCAATTTATTCACCACAAAGCAACGATCATTTCACTATCCTCTTGCAGATTTTTCTAGAAGTTCATTTTATTTCCTTGTTATGATTTTTTTAAAATTGTGATATGATGCATAAACATAAAATTCACTCTTTTAGTCCACAAAGGCATACAGAATGGCATAACAGACACTGGAAACTCGAGGGTGGGGGAGGACGTAACGGGAGGGTTAAAAATTACCTACTGGGCACAATGTATACTAGTTGGGTGACAAGTACACTAAAAGCCCAGGCTTCTTCACCATGATACAATTCACCCAAAACCACCCGTATTCCTAAATCTACTGAAATATAATTAAGTAAAAACAATGCTATGGAGGTCAAAAAAATTTCACCCTATCATTATTACTATTACTAGTCGGAGGCCTCACTCTGTCACCCAGGCTGGAGTGCAGTGGCACCATTATGGCTCACCATAGCATCGACCTCTTGGTCTCAGGCAATCCTTCTGCCTCAGCTTCCTGAGTAGATGGGACTACAGGCATGTGCCACCATACCCAGCTAATTTATAAATTTATTTTTTTGTAGAAACGAGGTCTTACTATGTTGACCATTTAAACATTTTTACTTTCATTTCATTTTTATTTTATTTTAAATTAATAAATTAAATTATTTTATTTCTTACCTGACCCATGGCATGGTGGCACATGCCTGTGGTTCCAGTTACTTTGAACACTGAGGTGGAAGGATCACCAGAGCCCAGCAGGTTGAAGCTGGGGTGGCCGTGCACTCCAGCCTGGGCAACAGTGAAACTCCAACTCAATAATAGTAATAATAATAATAATAATAATAATAAACAGGCCAGGTGTGGTGGCTCATGCCTATAATCCCAACACTTTGGGAGGCCGAGGTTAGAGGATGGCCTGAGCCCAGGGATTCGAGACCAGCCTGGGCTACTTAGTGAGATCACATCTCTACAATAAATCAAAAAATTAGCCGGGCAGGGTAGCCTGTAGTCCCAGCTTCTTGGAAGGCTAAGGTGAAAGGATCACCTAAGCCCCGCAGGTCGAAGCTGCAGTGGCCGTGAGCATGCCACTGCACTCAGTCTGGGTGACAAAGTGAGATTCTGACTCAAAAAAAATAAAAAAATAATTAAAAAAAGAAAATACCTTTACACCAATATTAAAGAGCTATCTGTGCTTTATTCCAGTATTTCATGGTTTCATTTTTAACTATTATATTAAAACAAATTATGCTATTTTAGATTTTTTTTTTTTGAGTTGGAGTCTCACTCTGTCACCCAGACTGGAGTGCAGTGGCCGCTGCTGGCCACAGCAGCCTCGACTTGCTGGGCTCTGGCGATCCTTCCACCTCAGCCTTCTGAGTAGCTGAAATTACAGGCACACGCTACCACACCTGGCTGATTTTTTTGTTGCTTATTGTAGAGATGAGGTCTTGCCAAGTTGCCTGGTGGGTCTCGAACCCGCAGGCTCAGGCAATCCACTCACCTCAGCCTCCCAAAGGCGCGGGATTACAGGCTGAGCCACCGAGCCCGGCTATTTAAGATTTTTTAAATGACCTTCAATAATATCACCACTCATCTCATCAGAAAAAGTCTTTAAGTATTTGAAACACTGTCAAGCTCATAATGGTGAATAAATAGTTTCTTAAAATTCTAATTTTCCCTTGAAGATTTAAATCTTATAATGGGCAACAAATGCTTACAGCTACTTTTCTTGAAATGACAAGAAATATATATGCCAAAAACAACTGTATGTTAGCAGTTCTTTCAAGTAAAAAAAATGATGTTCCATGAAAAAAACAGCTAGTTCAGCTTGCAACTCAATAAACTACAAGTGCTTTACTCTTCCTCCAGATAACTAACACGTTACTCCAGTGTGCAGTAAAAAGTGCTTTATATGTACTTCCCATTTCTCCAGAGAATATTTTTTAAAGAACACGGAAGGATCCACAATTCTAAAAAGTAATTATTTTAACAGTTTTGTCACAGACCATTTTTTTTTTTTTTTTTGAGTTGGAGTCTCACTCTGTCGCCCAGACTGGAGTGCAGTGGCCGCTCCTGGCCACCGCAGCCTCGACTTGCTGGGCTCCAGCGATCCTTCCCCCTCAGCCTTCCAAGTAGCCGGAATTACAGGCATGCGCACCATGCCCGGCTGATTTTCTGATTTATTGTAGAGATGAGGTCTCGCTGCCCAGGTGGGTCTCGAACCCGCAGGTTCAGGCAATCCACTCACCTCAGTCTCCCAAAGGCGCGGGATTACAGGCTGAGCCACCAAGCCTGGCTTGTCACAGACCATTTTAAGTTGAAATGGTATTTATGTATTTATGTATGTCCTATGAGTACACAAAGGGGAAGAACACCAGCACTGCCATGATGTATGTAGTCAAGTACCAGCAGCAGTTTTACCCATCACTGCCATCAGAGCTAATGTTAACAAAGCGAAAAATACAAATGTCTTTTGTTCTCCTTGGGAGGCTGAGGTGAGTGGATTGTCTGAGCCCGCGGGTTCAAGACCTGCCTGGGCAACTTGGCGAGATCTCATCTCTACAATAAATCAAAAAATTAGCCGGGCGTGGTAGCACGCCTGTAGTTCCAGCTACTTGGAAGGCTGAGGCAGAAGGATCGCCAGAACCCAGCAGGTCGAGGCTGCGGTGGCCGGCAGCGGCCACTGCACTCTGGTCTGGACGACAAAGTGAGACTCCAACTAAAAAAAAAAAAAATCAAAAAACAACAACAAATGTCTTTTGTATTACTATCATTACTAAAGAAGTATTTATTTAGTAGAAATACTAATGCCTTAGTGTTACAGTTTTGACCTCACGGATGAGACTCCATGCTCTGAGAACCAGTGCTCTAGATACTAAAAAGGAAACATACTAAATTTGAAGGCAGTTGATAAAGACTATGTATTCTACTAGGTCAAAAGTCCTTTATCTGTTTGTCAGTTTCAGTATCCCATTGTCCAACAAAGTTTGTACCAGGCCCTATTTTTTCTTTTTGAGAGATGGAGTCTTGCTACGTGGCCCAGGGTGATCTCAAACTCCTGGCTCCAAGTGATCCTCCCAGGACAGCCTCCCAAGTAGCTGGCAAAGTAGCCATGCCTTGGCTCTGCTTTTATTTTTTATTCTACTAAAATTTAACTTGAAGATTTACTTTTATCAAGTCACTTTCAACAGGCCACCTATTTCCCCCTTACCTCGCTACCTATATTGGAACGAACCACTGTATGACCTCAACCAAGAGTATTAGATTTTACGAGGAGGCAAAAAAAAAAAAAAAAACCAACGGATTTTTTTAGAGGGCAGCCCCCTTATAGTACAAGCTTCCTCCACTAGGTTAAGTGTTTTAAGAACCCACTGGCATGAGTGTACCAGCTAGCATTGTTATGAGAGGCTACGTTCACCTTCAGTCAATTTTTCTGAGATTCTCTCAATGTGTTTGCCCATTTCATAATGGGTAACTAGTGAGCTCAGCTGTACATGCTGTGCTGAGTGTTCAGCAGTTTTTGACCAAACACGGCATGACCCCTGTGCCTCACCCACCCTATTCATCCAATCTCAACCCAAGCAAGCTTTCTGTTTCCCCAATGAAAAAAGTCCTCAAAGAGAAACACTTTGCCGATGTGGAAGAGGTGAAACAAAAAAACAGCAAAAGCACTAAAAGGCATCAAAATGGATGAGTTAAAAAACTCTTGAGCAGTGGAGAAAGCATCTCAATAGGTGTATTGCACCAGAGAGTACTTTGAAGGTGACTGAAGTTTTAAACATGTAAACGTATACAATCTTTTATAAATTTTGAGTTTTTTGGGGGGGGTCCCCTTGTATAGCCAACCATATTTAGCTAGCTAAATTTCTTTTAAGGGAAAATAAATTATATTTAATTTAATTAGGAATAGTATTTAATTGGACTGGTTTTTGTGGGGAGATGGGGGGCTAGGGCCTCACTCTGTCACCCAGGTCAGACCGCAGTGACATGATCATGACTCACCACAGCCTACAATGCTCAAGCGATCCTCCCACCTCAGTCTCCTGAGTAGCTGGAACTACAGGTGTGTGCCATCATGTCCAGCTAATTTTTTGTCTTGTTTTGTAGAGCCACGGTCTTGCTATGTTGCCAAGGTCTTGAACTCCTGGACTCAAGCAATCCTCCTGCCTCAGCCTCCCAAAGTACTGGGATTATAGGCATAAGTCACACATCCAGCCAAGGACTGTTCTATTTAACAATTCAACATACCACTGGGAATATATTTGTATATTTGGAGGCTTTAAGTATATAAATTTAGCCGGGCTCGGTGGCTCAGCCTGTAATCCCAGCACTTTGGGAGGCTGAGGTGAGTGGATTGCATGAGCCCGCAGGTTCGAGATCTGCCTGGGCAACTTGGCGAGACCTCATCTCTACAATAAATCAAAAAATTAGCCAGGCATGGTAGCGCACGCCTGTAGTTCCGGCTACTCAGAAGGCTAAGGTGGAAGGATCGCCAGAGCCCAGCAGGTTGAGGCTGCGGTGGCCGGGAGCAGCTGCTGCACTCCAGTATGGGTGACAGAGTGAGACTCCGACTCAAAAAAAAAAAAAAGTATATAAATTCTAGGCCTGGTGGTGGCTCACACCTGTAATCTCAGCACTTTGGGAGGTGGAGGCAAGAGGACTGCCTGAGTCCTGGAGTTCAAGATCAGCCTGGGCAACCTGGTGAGACCTCATGCCTATAAGAAATAAAAAAATCAGGCCAGGCTTGGTGGCTCAGCCTGTAATCTCAGCACTTTGGGAGGTCGAGGTGAGTACCTTGCCTGAGCCCGCAGGTTCAAGACCTACCTGGGCAACTTGACGAGACCTCGTCTCTACAATAAGCCAAAAATTAGCCAGGCGTGGTAGAGCACACCTGTAGTTCCAGCTAGTTGGAAGGCTGAGGCTGGAGGATCGCCAGAGCCCAGCAGGTCGAGGTTGCGGTGGTTGGGAGCATACCCCTGCACTCCAGTCTGGGTGACAGAGTGAGACTCCAAATCAAAAATTAAAATTAAAAATAAAAAAATCAGCTAGGCGTGCTGGTGCACCTGTGGTTCCAGCTACTTGAAAGGCTGAGGTATAAAGATGGCCCAAGCTCAGCAGGTCAAGACTACAGTGGCCATGATCATGCCACTGCACTCCAGCCTGGGCAACAGAGTAAGACTCTGACTTAAGAACAAAATATATAGCCGGGCTCAGTGGCTCAGCCTGTAATCCCGCGCCTTTAGGAGGCTGAGGTGAGTGGACTGCCTGAGGCCGCGGGTTCGAGACCCACCTGGGCAGCGAGACCTCATCTCTACAATAAATCAAAAAATCAGCCAGGCGTGGTAGCGCATGCCTGTAATTCCAACTACTTGGAAGGCTGAGGCAGAAGGATCACTGGAGCCCAGCAGGTCGAGGCTGCGGTGGCCGGGAGGGGCCACTGCACTCCAGTCTGGGCGACAGAGTGAGACTCCAACTCAAAAAAATATAAGAAAAAAGAGCAAAATATATATACAAATACATAAATTCTGGAAGAATTAACTTATCCTGAATAAAATTGTTTAATTTTTTAACCTACCTAGAAAACATACACTCCATAAAGCATACCATTAATTGTAAAAGCATTTCAACTTACTGCAAACCTAAGAAGAAGGCAAGACTTTCCAACCCCAGAGTCGCCAATGAGAAGTAATTTGAATAAATAATCACTGCAAAAAGAAAGAGAAAATCACATTAATAAAAAGCATACAGCATTGTACATTCCACAACAAAAATACAGTCACAAGTAACACCTCACTGTGAAGACTACAGCTCCTGAACTATGCATGGTTTAAGAGAAGCTAACACTGCAACCAACAGCAGCCCTTTTGACAGATCACTGAACATGACAGAAGTATATAAATTGCTCTGCTAAGCTATGGCCTGGTCATGTGTTCTTTGAATTATGGCCAGGCCATGCTTCCCCCTAAGTTTTCGTCTTCTCCCCTACATAGGGTGGTGAATCCTCCCTGGCATCTTTCTCTCTAATTTACTTTCCAGCCACTACTTTGTTAAACTCTGGTGCATCCACATGGTTCTTTGAGCTATGGCTGCCATGTTTTCTCGCTTTGGTTTCCTCCCTTACCTTAAAGAAGAGATTCTTCTCTCTCTCTCTCATTTACTTTCTAAATAAACTATATTTTCCAATCTAAAAAAAAAAAAAGTAAGATAGGCAATGTTGATGCAGCAGCTCATGCCCATAATCCCAGCACTTTGGGAGGCAAAGGTGAGAGGACTGCCTGAACCCACAGGTTTGAGACCAGCCTGGGCAACTTGGCAAGACCTCATCTCTACAATAAATCAACAAAAATTAGCCAGGTGTTATGGGCACATGCCTGTAGTTCCAGCTACTTGGAAGGCTGAGGTGGAAGGATCGCCTGAGCCCAGCAGGTAGAGGCTGTGATGGCCATGAGTGTGCCACTGCACTCCAGCCTGGGCGACAGAGTGAGACTTCGACTCAAAAAAAAGTAAGAAAAGACAGGCAATGCAACCCATGATCTCTGACATCAGTGAACTTCCACCTACAGGAAAGAATGAATGGAAAAGAAATTCCTGATATACACTCTTGGAGAACTCAAGAGATTTAATAAATCCTATTACTGCTGGGCACCTTAGTTCACACCACTGGTACTCCAGCTTGGGCAACAGAGTGAAACGCCAACTCAAAAAATAAAAATAAATCCTGCTCCTCCACAGTACTAGAATAGAGAAAAGGTAACGTTCCATCGTTCTTTTCAATGAAACGATATCTTCACCTTCAAATTCCAAGATCAAATTATTTCATAGCACTCCTCCAATGAAGAGGCTTTTACAGACCCTTCCCTAGAATATAGCTTAAATTATCCCATTAAAAAAATTTAGGCTGGGCACAGTGGTTCAAGACTATAATCCAAGCACTTTGGGAGACAGAGGCGAGAGGATTGCCTGAGTCCACAGGTTTGAGACCAGCCTGGGAAACATGGTGAGACCTCATTTCTGCAACAAATAAAAAAATCAGCTGGGCATGGTGGCGCATGCCTGTGGTTCCAGCTACTTGGAAGGCTGAAGCAGAAGGATCACATGAGTCAAGCAGGTCGAGGCTGCGGTGGCCGTGAGAGTGCCACTGCACTCCAGCCTGGATGACAAAGTGAGATTCCAACTCAAAAAAGAAAAAAGTTTCATTTTAACTTCTGATAGCCCATATTATAAACATTTTAAACTAGAAATATGGCAAATCAGGCCAGGTGCAGAGGCTTGTGCCTGTAATCCCAGTACTTTGGGAGGCTGAGATGTAACTTTCAGAGTAATTCATAAGGCTGGAAAAAGCATGAATGCTTCCTAATTTCATTACAAGTTATATTATAGTTTCAAGAAATCAGTAGTCAATTTTTAAAATCAACAATTATCATAATACTCTAAGAAAGGGATTGGTATTAGTGAGAAGCTGCCAGAGGAGGGGGGATGGGACTAGCAGTTGAAGGAAACTGCTAGGGGAGAGAGGGGCACACCTCATCAAGGGTACCTGTATAATCAACATTTATATACCTAACCCTAAATTGTAGCCCACACCTTTAAAATTAAAAATAAATAAAATAAAAAATTTTAAATCATGTTCTTCATTTTTTTTCTTTTTGAGTCAGAGTCTCACTGTCACCTAGGCTGGAGTACAGTGGCACACTCACGGTCACCGCAGCCTCGACCTCCTGGGCTCAGGCGATCCTTCCACCTCAGCCTTCCAAGTAGCTGGGACTACAGGCATGCACCACCACACCCAGTTAATTCTTGATTTATTGTAGAGATGAGGTCTTACCAAGTTGCCCAGGCTGGTCTCAAACCTGACATAGACTCAAGCAATCCTCTCAACTCAGCCTCCCAAAGTGATGGGATTATAGGCATGAGCCATTGCACCCAGCCTTAAAATCACCTTTTTCAACTGCCACGTTAAGTTTTACAAATATAATATTTTAGAACATTTTGAGTGTCTAATAATTTAGGGTTCAAAGTCATTATAAATAACATGAGTACTCTGTACTGTACAAGACAATTTTTGCAAAAGACTATTGGTTATCTTCTAAGCCAACAGCTTTACTAGCATGACAATGGTGACATGGAGGAAAAAGACAAAATTAAACCCATAAACTTCCCCACACCCCCCCCTTTACTGAATATACACCTACCCAGATAGTGTGATTAATATCATGTTACTTATACTGGGACATTTTAAAATTACTACTACAGTAGTAGTTTATTTCTGAACTTTTTTTTTTTTTGAGTTGGAGTCTCACTCTGTTGCCCAGACCAGGCGGGTCTCGAACCCGCGGGCTCAGGCAATCTACTCACCTCGGCCTCCCAAAGCACTGGGATTACAGGTTGAGCCACTGAGCCCGGCTATTTCTGAACTATTGATATACTAAATGTTCACGAGAATTCAGAGACTTGAGTTTGCTTAAAGATTTTTCTGTAACTACAGTTTACAAAACAGAACCCAGTAAAAATGTTGATAGAAAATGTGCAAATCAGCCGGGCTTGGTGGCTCAGCCTGTAATCCCGCGCCTTTGGGAGGCTGAGGTGAGTGGACTGCCTGAGCCCGCAGGTTCGAGACCCGCCTGGGCAGCAAGACCTCATCTCTACAATAAATCAAAAATCAGCCGGAGGTGGTAGCACATGCCTGTAATTCCGGCTACTCAGAAGGCTGAGGCGGAAGGATCGCCGGAGCCCAGCAGGTCGAGGCTGCGGTGGCCGGGAGCGGTCACTGCACTCCGGTCTGGGCGAAAGAGTGAGACTCCAACTCAAAAAAGAAAATGTGCAAATCTAGAGAGCACAAGGGCAATATTTTAGTACAAAGAGCCAAGACTAATTTAGCAAATGGTAAGACTTTAAATGTACTTATTCTTTATTCCTCAAGAATTTAGATTATTAAGTTTTCAGCCTACAATATAATTTTAACTTACATTAAAAACCTAAACTATGCTAATAAGAAATCTATAAAGATTTACAATTGTAATCATTACCCTGCTAAATTATACAGTAAGTCTGTTTCCAATTCAGAGCTTCCTCTAACTATATTTCTAATTTACTATGACATTTCATATTTTCTACCCCTGAGAAGTTTAGAGCTGTTTCTCTCCACTCATGTTTGACATAGCTATCTGTGGGTGTGGAAAGTAAACTGACTTATTCATCTGTGTATCCAAGGTTCAAGCATTGTGCGTTTTACAAAGCATGTGCTAAGATGTCACAGAACATGTAAGTTTCGCATTTTTTATCAGGCCTCTTTCATTGTGAGATACAGCTAAAGAAAATCTATGCCACCAATGATTAGCATTTTGGGAAAAATACTAGGGAAAAACTGAATGGAGGCGTGGCACGTTAAAACGACATAGGAGCCAACCTGGAAGTTCTCATAATGGCCAAATCAGTACAATTTGAACTACAAAGTAAATAATCATGTATGAGATTATAATACAAAGAATAACTACCCAGGAGTTCATACTAGTATAAGCAATTAAATAAATAAACGAGGAGACAAATCTTCCTTATAGGATTCCAGTAATACATGTGGAAGGAATGAGAGAAAATAGAAAATCAATAGATAACTACATGAAAAACTATTGTGGATAGGGCACATAACATCAATAAGGGTACTCACACTTTACCTGTACGATGACCAAGTATGTACTGAACCCTGAATTGCACTTCACATTTTTAAAATTAAAAATAAATAAATAGGCCGGGTGCGGTGGCTCAGTCTGTAATCCCAGCACTTTCAGAGGGCGAGGTGAGAGGATTGACTGAGCCGGGGCTAGGAGAGAAAGAGATTCAAGACCAGCCTGGGCAACTTGGTGAGACCTCGGCTTTACAATAAATCACAAAAACGAGCTGGGCATGGTGGTGTGCATCTGTAGTTCCAGTTACTTGGAAAGCTGAGGCAGAAGGATCACCTAAACCTAGCAGGTCAAGGCTGCGGTGGCTGTGAGCATGCCACTGCATTTCAGCCTGGGCGACAGAGTGAGACTCCAACTGAAAATAAATAAATAGGAACCAAAAAAAAAAATGGTGCAATGCTGGGCACAGTGGCATATGCCTGTAATTCCAGCTACTCAGAAGGCTGAGGTGGGAGGATTACTTGAGGCCAGAAGGCTGAGATCAACCTGAGCAACATGGAAAGACCCTATCTCTAAAAAAATAAAAAATTAGCTAGACAGGATGGCATGTGCCTGTGATCCCAAATACTCAGGAGGTTGAAGCATGGGAAGAACACCTGAACCCAAGAGTTCAAGGCTGCAGTGAGCCATGCTCTCACCACTATTCTCCAGCCTAGGTGACAGAGCAAGACCCCGCTTCTACAATTTGTTTATTTCTTTAGTTTTTGAGTTGGAGTCTCATTGTGTCACCCAGGCTGGAGTGCAGTAGCACACGCATGGGCACAGCAGCCTCGACGTGCTGGGCTCAGGCAATCCTTCCACCTCAGCCTTCCAATAGCTGGAACTACAGATGCGTACCACCACACCCAGCTAATGTTTTTTTTTTTTTGAGTTGGAGTCTC